CTAAACCACAAGTTATCTAGACATAGCTAAGATAATGGACCCATGCATATTCAAGACGCGATGTGTTTCATGAAATCTGTTAAAGGCATTGTGATCTATCTCAAACTGTTGAAGAAAATGATTCACGCGCTCGTTTTGTACTTTTTATGTTTTGTTCCTCTGATCGGTGAGTAATAAATATTTTACGTCTCTGCAGGGTTGCTCTTTTCACCATTTAGAATATTGACATATTTACGTCTTGCGTCGTGCATCTCTATGAGTGTTTGGTGTCGAGACAGATGAGATGTCAGCGATGGAGGGAGATTCCTTCACTCTCCGTACTGGTCTTACAGAAATACAGAGAGATGATGAGCTCGAGTGGAGGTTTGGATCGAGCAGAACTCGTTTAACCAGAATAGCGGCGGGAAACATTACTACATACAATGACGAGAAATTTAGAGACAGACTGCAGCTCGAAAGACAGACTGGAGATCTCACCGTCACAAACATCACTAATGAACACACTGGCGTTTATCAACTGAGCATCGTTATCAGGAATAAGAAGTCAACCAAGCGATTCGCCGTCACTGTTTATGGTGAGATGAAGTTGTAGGTGTTGTAAACAATTGAAAATCTTTCTAGTTTTGTTTGTTTCCCCTTTGTTTCCCAGCTCCTGTGTCTATTCCTGTAATCTTCAGTGATGCTTCACAATGTGCTTTATCGGCTGAAAGATCATCGAGGATCTTCCTGTGTTCAGTGTTGAATGTGAGTGATGTGACTCTCTCCTGGTACAAAGGAAACAGTTTATTGTCCAGCATCGGTGTGTCTGATCTCAGCATCAGTCTCTCTCTACCTCTGGAGGTGGAATATCAGGATAAAAACACCTACAGCTGTGTAGTGAACAATCCTGTCAGCACCCAGACCACACATCTGGACATCGATCAACTCTGTCAAATACATTCAGGTAGTCTAAATCCAGTTTTGTGCATTTTTGTGAAAGAGTTTTTATAATGCATTTTCTTCAGTGCTTGATTTAGTGTCTCTCCTCAGACTGCAACTTTTGTTTTGACTCTCCTGAAGCTGTGATCCGACTGGTCGTCTCTGCTTTGATAAGTGTAGCTGCTGTGGCCGCTGTTGTTCTTCTGGTTAATGACATCAGAAGATTCGGAAGAACACAGACAATGAAACGGTGATATACTTGATATTGCATTGCAATAGTAAACATTTTGTTTCTTTCTCTTTCTGCCTCAACATTTTTTATATTTCTTTCATTATTTATTTTAGTGTTATAGTCTTTTGCAAACATTGTGCCATTTAGGTTTGTTAAAAAAAAAATAGGTAAAGAGCAAATAGGCCACTTCTAGTGGTACGACATGTACCATGTAACACCCTGTCTAATCTTTCTTTATGCCTCTGGCAATTATAAAAAATTCCAATCCATCCACAATGGTAGCACTCCAGAAAGCATCCACTCTTGCTGTTCACTCTGACTTCTTACAGTAGTCTCAGTTTTGTCAGTTAATTTGGCTTTATTGTGTATTTGCACACAAATCAAACACTGCATGAACTGACTAATGAACTGAATTTGGAAGCAAACAATTGGGTTTGGGGGAATAATCAGTATTTATGAAGGCCACTTCTAATGGTAAGACATGTAAAACATCCTCTTTCAAACTTACAATCCATCCACAATGGTAGCACTCCACTCTTGCTGTTCACTCTGACTTCTTACAGTAGTCTCAGTTTTGTCTGTTCATTTGGCTTTGTGTATTTGCACACAAATCAAACACTGCATGAACTGAACTAATGAACTGATGCAAACAATTGAGTTTTAGAGGAATAGTCAGTATTTATGCAATTATTAATGGCACAGAACAGAAGAGACACTTTGCACCTATAAGACCAATCACAAATCCCCATGCGAACAGCCTAAAGATTAAACTAATAAGAACCATTTCAATCAACATTGTAAAGACAGAAATGTATAAATCATTTTTAGATTATTCATCATATAATCAGTTGTGGGACTAGTCTGTCATAAATTGCATTCCATTCATTTCTGAACTTTCTACCGTCCGTTACTGGAAATGAAATGGTTGATATGTCCCAATCTCAATAAAGTTTACACGCTTTCAGTCTGTGAACTAAATCTCGCTCTCGCTGTCTGTGGAAGTTTGGCCAGGACCAGTTCCAGAAGAAATCACTGAGGCATTTTTGTCCCGTCCATTGCTTTGGTTATCAGTGTCAATCTCTGATATTTCTAGAATGAATCCAGCATAAATGTTGATGCAATTCCCGAAACGTTGCAGCATGTATGAGTCCGAAAAATGATAGTTTCATACAAATTCAGAATGGATTATAGCCTAGAAAGCACGCAAAGCGCACTCCCATTATTATCACTAAAAGCATGACTCATCTTAGTTCATTAAGATTTCACAAAGTTCCGTTATAATCAATGAAACTCTCTAAACTACACAATGAACCTATTATTTAGGCTACATCACGTCTGCACTTATGAGATGATTCACAAGCGTGCAAAACTCCGGTGCTTTCAACGTTAAGTGAATTCTGAATACTCTTAACGTTTCTGATTGGCCACTGCGTTGAAGAGATCAACAGATATGTCTGTGATTGGCTACATTGCTCAATGCCGCAAAAACACATTGGACAGTTCGCCAGATCTTTAATTGCTTTTGCTTTCATTTGAGGGTATTTAGTGCCATCTAGTACCCCCGTACATCCGGGCCTGGGCTTGGCTAACTGCTCCAATTGCAGCGGGACTGACATTTGCGGGGCAATACCCCCCTAATGTCGCCCATGCTGATGAGTGTGTAAAGTAAGCTAATACATCAACCAAACCTTGCTTATCTGTTTATAGCAAATACAGCTCATGTTCATTTACACAGCGTAACTGTTTATATTGTTACTGTGGTTATGTATGTACTGTAATGGATGGATTCATGCTGATCCTGAGGTTGATTTAATTGATCTTCACTGAAACCTGTTATAAAAATACAGAAAGAGACACAGCAACAAAAATATAGTTTTAATTTTGCAGTATGCAGGCCTTGCATGCATTCACACACATAAAGAAAACACATTCTTTCAACAGTGAAAAAAACTCACAGGTACAGCATAAAAACTGAACTGATCAATATCTTACCCCACTGGAGTTCCTTGCTTAGATAATTTTGTGATCTGGAAGCAAACAGATTTAAATCTATTGTAAATCCTGAACTTCACTAAGACAGGCAGAAAGATATGTAATTACTGAAAACACAACAATAGCATTTGTTTTCTTTTAGCAGTATTGCTCTTTTTGGAGTCAGAGCTATCTTGATAGCTAAACTTATTTTTCATTAAACTTTTAAGCTTCCTTCAAGGTTAGTTGTAAAACCTTCCCCAGGACGTGTAAAACGGCAAAATTCAAAACTAGTCATATTTCTTTAGTATTTATATGTTTGCTCTTCAGTCTAAAGTAGAGCATCACAAGATCAGCACTGTATTTAATATTTCTGTATTAATGTTGTTTCTTTGTGTTGGTGTTTATTATCTGAATGGACAAACTTCATACAAGTACATCATATGCATTATACAAACACCAACAAAAATACTGCTGAGATCAAACACGGATCATATTTGCAGTAGCTATGTTAATATAGTAATCAGATTGGTAATCAGATTTCACTCATGTTTTTTCATGTTATAAGAACTGTGGGTGATACTTACCCTTGCAGCGATAGTAAATCACAAGAGCCACAAGCACTGGCACTAACACTACACAAACACATATCAGTGCTATATAACCTGGGTGAAGACCTGATACTGTAATGATAAAGAGAGACAGTCGTTAGTGTGAATGTGTCTGATCTACAGTATAACACTATAGGAACATCAGCTATATAACCTGAGTGAACATCTGATACTGTAATGATAAAGAAAGACAGTCATTAGTGTGAATGTATCTGAGTAACTCACCTTTGACAGTAACACTGATGGCCCTCTGTAGGGTGTATGCACTGTTGCTCATGTGTAGATCATAAACTCCAGAGTCTGTGGTTCTGGAGTCACTGATGGTGAGATCGCCTGCCTCACGATTGAGCTTCAATCTGCCTTTAAATTTCCCATCAGCACTATCATATAATAAGAACTGATTTGTCCTTTTACTAATTTTAGCCATGAGATGATCTTCAAACTTCCACAATATCAGATCATATTCCCGTATTTCAAGAACACCAGAGAGTAGAGTGATAGATTCTCCTGTCATAACTAATACGTTCTTCATGCCACCAGTCAGCACCAAACACATACAGAGAACAGGAAATATATTACTTATATTATCAACAAGGTCTGTGTCAATTAGGCAAATACATAAACACTTGATTGCAACAGTGCATAAACACACTGTAATAGCCAAATATATAAAGTATTGTACATAAGCAAACTGAAAATAAAAATAAAAATCATGCGCATAGTTCCAAATAGTTTTGGCCATTACAGATTATAAATACAAACAAAATATAACAGTAGCACAGTTGTGATGACAGTGTTTGGATCACACTCTATGTAGAATGAGCATATAAAAACTATTAATAACTACAGACAAAACTCAAGGCTTTGGTTCATTTTTACTATTTAAAGGGGTCATGATGTTGCTAAAAAGAACATTATTTTGTGTATTTGGTGTAATGAAATGTGTTTATGCGGTTTGGTGTGCTCTGATTGGCCAGCTATCCAGTGCGTTGTGATTGGCCGAATAACTCGTGTGACGGAAATGTTACACCCATACCATACTGTGATGCCCTGTCCAGCCAGAGCGACAAGACAATAACATTAAAAACCATTATAAACGAAGCATTTGTTGCATCCAGTGGGGACATAATTTCGGATTATAATGACTTATACTGTCTTTTTACACGTTGCATCATGCTGTGCAAAATTAAAACCATGTCTGCATTTGTGATCGGAGAAATGACAAACAACAAGCGCTACTCTACACTGCTCAAAACTCACGTTTGAATCATCAGTGGCAAATCCTTTAAATATTTAAACGTACTTACAGTCTGTGAGTCAGAACTGCTAGCATTGTAGTTTACTCTACCAGGATCAGGAAACAGTCCTCCATAAAATGACAGTTTCATTTGAATGTTTTTGAAGGTAAGATCTCCGGTCTGATTATTCAGATGAATGATGAATGTTACTCAGTCGCCAGCGCTGTTTAATCCATTAACTTGCACAAGACCATCGCCGGTTCCAAAGTTTGTTTGTTTACATTTACTAAACGATTTTAACATTACAGATTTAATTAAAAATGACAAACGACATGTCATTCGAAAGCTCAGAGTTTCAGGGTTCGACATTTACGACCCTATTCTCATAGCGATAACTTCATTTTAATTCGTACCTGGATTTGCCATCACTTCACGGAACACTGAAACGGGAAATTCTTAAACGTTTTAGTCCAGTGACAATGACTGATGACTTCAAGCATGCTAACACTAGTGTAGTTTTCATGGCAATATTACAAAAAAACAAAATAAATTCGATTTTTTTAGTTCAAACAGTGGTAATTTAGGAAGAATATCGACATCTCTGCTTTATGTACATAATATTTCTTCGGAGTAAATTATAATTCTTTCCACATTTTAAATAAATGATGCACTCCGATGTGTATTTCAGTATTAAATCGCTATATTATCAAGTTTGATTGAGTCTTATGTACAGAATGACCCCACCCCCAGTGTTCTTTCTGCAGAGCTGATTGGTCATTCATTCAAAATATTCTAACAGCGCCACCGGCTGTTGTGACGTCCAAATATGCCGGACCCATAATATTTACTGCACACAGGAAGCCAATTTAAAGCTAATACAGTTCAGATGGATGCAAAATGCAGCCAATGTATAGATAATTACAGAGATTACACACAGATTGTTTGTATCGGGGTTTCAGCCATATGTATATTTCCAAGCATAGCCATTTTGTAGTTAAAATAAAACCTGCATTTAGATATCTTAATTTTTGCTTTGTCTAATATATGCACCACTAACGTAACAAAAACAACTGAACAAAAACGATTGTTTTCTCACAGGTTTCCAAATGCTTATCCTCCCTTTTTTTATTGGCTATAAAAACAAAGAGTTCCCTCAAACTCACTTTATTGGTTTAGTCAATGGTGCTGTGTCCGGTCAATCA